AAACATTTTAATAAAGAACTCGGCAGATTTGTCGAGCCGTTTATCAAATAACATGTTAACCGCACGTTGTTTGTTCTATGTATTACATATTCGTTTAACACATTTCTTGCGTGATTCTATAATTTTTCCTTAATGATCAATTAACTTCGTTATTCCAGTTTAATAAGAATTAATAATTCCAGAGTAAAATAGTTCTTCACTCTGGTAATTTTAAAATCTACTCATGCTTCATCTATTCCATAGATTTGAAAACTAATTATATATCGTTGAAATAATGAACCACATTGAATTTTCTTACCTGGAGGCATCGATGAAATATATTATAAGCGACGCTATACTGAGAATGAAAACTAGCACCACCTGCAACAACAAAAATAATGCGTGTGATTAAATCATTTATCTATTGTAATCAAAGAAACGCTAGAAGCAAAGAATAATAATTAATTTTATGTTATAAACTTATCCTTCGAATGTAAAGAACGCAGTAAAATAATATGGACAAAAATTGCAAGAATTGAATTGCAGCAATGTAAATACAGGAGTCTTCTACACGCGGAAGTACAAAGAAATTGAAGAAAAACGGAATACCTTTAAGCACCCGACACATTTTAATAAACCGCCCTAGTTTCTCCTCTGAAAGAAGTAGAAACATCAAAGCTGATACGAGGACGAAGATAAACGATCCCGGCAACATTCAGAACGAGCTCAAATTTTTCATACAGATAAACTCACTGAATTCATTACAACTAAGAATCATTTTTTCTCAAGATTACCTAACAATTAGTTATACACTAACTACGTTACAGTTCTTTTGTCCTGGGCCTCGCTCCACCGGCTAACAGGTCAGTGGGGCAAGGGGAGACGTCCACTCGCGGCGCTTGGCCCCGTAGTTATGGCGGCTCAGTTTCGGCATGCTTTGTTATTGGCCGAGTCGCGCAACAAAGAATGCAAGCGAAACGGAATGCGATGAAGTGAGATGTACTGTGCAACTCTCACGTTTTGAATCAATCTTAAAAGCTAAAACTGCACAGAGGTAAGGAAAATTAGCCGCACTCTCCACCTCGGCCATTTCAAGAAACACAGTAGCCGAGCCGTCTCGTCCCCAAGATTTAATAAACATAAAAAACTGCCGCTGTACAGAAAGGAAATTCGACGTTAATATCGTTACATCTCACTCCATCGCGTTCTGTTTCGTTTGCTTCCTTCGTCACGCGATTCGGCCAATAACATCAACTGTCGTTCTATAGCTATTGATGCGCTTCTTGTACATGTTACTTTCTAGCTTCTAGAATTGACTCAAGACGTAAGAGCTGTACAGAACGAACACTGGCGTTGGATTTCATTTCTGCGCGGTGATGGCTATTTACGTTTACCGAATCTCAAAGACATAGGGGCTCTACTACTGTTTCTTGAAAGGAAAATCGGTGGAGCGCGCGGCCGATTTTCGATGACCCCCTGCGGTCTTATCCGTGAGAACGAGGGTCAGGACTGAAGAGGCGAACTGTACCATATACTACAAATAATTATGTATTCGATTATTGATAACCACTGATAACTATACTGTTAATGTAACTATCATAAAATAAACTCAAATAAAGAATAACAATAATACAGAAATGAAAAAAACTTAATCTTGATAATGCAAATATTATAAGCTAATATATTCGTATTATAAGTCTAATATTCATATTATAAATCAAATACATATATTACAAGTCTAATATTCCTATTATAGATCTGATATCTATATCATAAATCTAGTATTCACAAATAAAAATACTGTTCGAGTATTTCCATTGATCGTTTTATCCTCTATATTTAAACGGCTTTCGAAACGTTCATTGAGAAGGGACGCGGCAGGAAACGGACGGCGCGCGGCAGTAAAGACAAATGGAAAACAAAGAGCGGAGTGAAACAAGGCAGAAGAGAATTATTGAGAAAAAGAAAAGAGACAGAGCAGAAGAAAATTAAACGAGGATAAAGGACAGCGAGCAGAAGACGACGATCCGAAATGAACCGGTAAGGGGGTCGAGTGCCGGCGCACCGCGAATTACGAAGCCCGATGCGGCTTTTTGCGTTCGAATTATTTTTAAACCGGACCGGTTCGCAGCTCGGACCGCGCTGAGACCAACCCTGAAACGTTTCCGTGTTAGTCCGAGAGCAAACGGTCTTTAAAGTTCAAGGTTGTTATGCGCTGAAAATCGTAACAAGACGGCCGACCTGTCTCTTGGCCAGCCAACGAACTTCCTCTTCGGCATCGATCACGAACCATTGATCGAATCCGTGGTCGCTCGAGCGGTCTATCGAATTAACACATTTGCCACCAGCATTTATCTCGCTAACAATCTTCTCAGTTGTAATATTCTATTAAATCTAACGAATTTTCTAAATAAAATATTGGAAGAGGAAGCTAAAAAGAGTGATTGCATTTTTAAATATTTAAGTTATACCTTAACGAAAATGAAAATTATATTAAAATTCAAATTTTACAAAATATTACTTTTTCGTGATTTATCATTAAACACATTTGTTTGTAGGTATTCAAAAGCATGTTACTGTATATTCAGTTTTTCCTTGATTTATTAATTATTTTACTACAGAAATACGTGTGCGTCCAATATGGAACATATTCCATTGAATACAGGGAAAACTTGTGGCGATGATGCCCGGAAGTCATAATAACAAATTGCTTCGAACAATATAATAATTAACTCAATAGTTCGAGACATGGTGAATTATAAAGCAAGCTTGATGAAACAGAAAGGTTGTACGTTAATCACGGTATTGATTGTAATTAATAATCTGCGTTTGCACTATAATTTATGAAACACCAGCTGCATTCATTATGCATCAAAGTTCCTAAATGCGGTCAATAATAACCGCAGATTAAACGTTAGCTTTATATAAATGATTATTGTTACGTGAATAAATGATAAGGAGTAATTCGTAATGATTTTATCAAATTCCATTGAATTTATGCCAGAAGTTGCCAACATTCATTCGCCAAATATTAATCAATTTTCTATTGAAGAAGATTTTTGTCATTGTTTCTCACTAAATAGCTCAAACTTTCTTCTGACCAAATAAACAATTTCAAAGCTTTAAATGACAGTTCTTTTAACCCTTAAAAACCCGGTTCAATTTTTCGATGATATTCGGGTCGCGGGATCGTTAATCGAAAAAGGGAAACCATGAATGCTAATTGGTCGACGTATTTCCTGATGGAGAACGACGTCTCCGAAAAACAGTGCGCCGATCCCGCGAAGGGTGTCTGGCAGGGGTCGCGTGGCTCGTGACGGTATTGTTCCCGCGACTCATGGGGTGCCCCGCTGCACATCGGAACCAATGCACGCGTTAATTACTCGTCGCTCGAGCGTTTCACTTCTGGAACAATGTGCCGATTTTTCCGGAACGTGAATACGAACTACTCGGGTACAGCAGCTGTTCCTTGGGACAGAATGTACGGCGAATCAAGAATTTGTTCGTAAAATGGTGTTGCTTATTTTTCCTAACTTGCAATTTTGCATTGAAATAAAAAGGATTCCACGCGAATGATACATAATATTTATGTCATGAGTATGTACTAATTGCTCAAGATACAGCAGCTGTTCTATGGGATTATTTGTTTCTTAGAATTTTAAATTTTATATTGAAATAAAAGAAATTTCACATTGTTACTCGTTTTTCATATTGTTACGTATATATTACGAATGTACCATGGAATGTAAGAAGAAAATGTAACGAAGGTTAAGAAATAAGATGGGAATAAGAGTAAATGGATACACGCAATTACAAAATTTCAATACCGAATTGATTCAAATGAAAATTTGTGTTAGAAAAGAAATTTATCAATATAATTACAGATTTCGAAATTTCGAAAAAATGTATCTAAAACTAAGTAAATCTTTTAGTTTCATAATATACAGTGACACGGTTTAAGTGGATATAAGAGCAATGAAAATTAAAATAATATTAAACCGATGATTTTTAAGCCGCTGCACTCGACTGTCCCCTCTGAGAGGACATTATGAACACAAGATTAAAATCTCCGAGTGCAAAGGGTTAAATTTATAGCTGCGAAGTATTATGTTGGCATCGACGATCAAAGCTACTTACTCCGTTTGATTTTTAGATATGAGATCATAGAGAACCTTTACTTTATGTTATAAATAGACAGAACCTTGTTATTGAAGCATTTGAATTAGGAACGTAACCGATCTTCATTGAGATTATGAAGCAACGATCGTCAGTGAACGAGACCAACACGTTCAGTACTCCCAATGAATCGACGAATAAGTAATGTTCGCAACCAATGAAGTCTAGCTCTAACTAGAATTAAAAAGTCTAAAATTATACGTTCATATTTGTTTCTATTATTCAAATGCCCTATACACTCTATCCTCGTATACACGTGGCCTACAAAAGAAAGATATTACAAGCTTCACAATAACGAGTTTCTTTCTTCAAAGCCTAAATTTCTGAAAAGATATAAAAATCTAAATCTTGTTTCATAATAAATGAACCATTAAAATATTTTCTTCGTTAGTTTCGACGTCTGTGGACTTCCCACTTCAACGTTAACATTCGAATATTCCTATAAAGAAAATTTTAGCGCTACAAAACTGGTAACAGATTGATACCGTCGCCTTGCATTATTAGTAGATGGCGGATCTTAATGCAAATTCAAATATTAATTATTAATTTACGAAAACAGTACCTAAATGGGAACTTATCAGCTTAATGAATGTTTTTGTTTAACAAAGAGGGATACTAAATTGTCCCCCTTTGTTACAGTTTACTAAAGACTTCATTAAAATTTGTATTTTGCTGAACTTCATTCAGCGCCGCTTGTTATGAATGTACAAAGACCCTGAGTAAAGTTGTTAATCAGCGTAAAAACAAACGATTTAAACGTTTAACAATTTCCACGCTTTTCTGAAATGTTATATATTGATTTTTTTAAGTTTTCACTTCTAGATTGACAAAAGACTCTCGGGGAAACAATTTAGAACTGAACGGACGGCTAATTGAAATCTCGTAACTACTTTTTCTGCATATTCTTTGCTAATATTGTAAAAATAACTGTCTAAATTATTCAAATAATAGCAAGATATGATTGCTTCTTACTGTTAAGCTGAAAAAACAACTCAAAAATATATAATAACATCTTTTAATTGAGAGTACCTTTTCTAGAAAATCGGAAAATGCAATTAATTCATTTGCTGGTAGTCAGTTCACATTCAATTTCCTCGGAAACGAAGCCATGAAAACAATATTTTATTCCATATGTATTACGTATTTTAATGCGTAAAGTAATCCGATATCGATTATAAACCACTCATATTCAACATAATCATCAG